GCGGCGCTGCAATATCCAAGTAGATACTATTGTTGTCTTACCCTGGCCTATCTGAAGAGTGCTTGCAGACTTTTTTTTGGATCTATGAGATACTGGCTCTGGTAGCAGTAGCAGCAGCTGCTGATGGGAAATGCATTTGCCGCCATTACAACAGCCATGCAACAGGGGCTGCAACTGCACTGAACTGCACGCAGCAACAACATCCTCCTCGATTTCCTTTTCAGCAGACTTGCCACGATATTAATCACAAAGCGCACAAATGGCAAAGCTAGGCAAGGAACTGCAGCTGTCGAGCAAAATGCGATGGCGACCCCCTACCCCCAAAGCCTCCCTTCCCTTGCTTCGGTGTGCATTTTTCTATGCACTGCGTTGCAAAATCGAAATCATATATCAGCGATATCCTGTGCATGCCAAAGGATAATGCGACTAACGTGCAGCTCTCCCCCTCCCTACAACTTCTAGTCTTCTCTCCCTTCTCTCCTGCTCGCATTCTCCTCTTCTAAGCGCTGGTATTTGTGTGTGTGCGTGTGTGTGTGTGACCTTCTGTGCTGTCATTGAACTCCTCGAGCTGTAAACTGCAACTGCGAAAAGCAAAAGCTGTGCCGAGTGGGGGGCGCTGCACTTATGTACTCATTATACATTATGTATGAGCATTGCAACGGCACTTATTTATATACGTGTGTGTGTGAGTGCCCACCCCGTCGCAGCATTATGTTTTGTTTTTTGTTTTAGCGCATAAAATATGTATAACATGCACACTTGAAACTTAATATGCACTCACAAAGCCACACTAACACACACACACACACACACACACACACACACACACACACACACACACACACTGGCACACTCCTCATACACGTGCAGGAGAGTGTTTTGCGTACTGACCTATTCCTCTGGAAATTTTGTATGGTATGGTTGTCGAATACCAACAATAACTACAACAACAAAAAATAGGACAAAACGTTTTTCAAAATCAACTCAAGCGCAAAGAATTTAAAGTTTTCTGCTTTGTGGTGGATTTAAAAAGCCATTGTGTAGGGGGTGGTTCGTCCACCCGGCCAGCCAGGGCAGCTGTTGATTTTACAATGAAATCGTCTGCATTTCAGCGCCCGTGGACATATCCTGCAGCAGTTGAGTAGCGGGACGCGATTAAAAACAAGGAGTCTTTTCGTTATAATAAAATTTCGTATTTTACGAGTATATGCTTAGCATAACACATCAGAGCATCAGACATCCATCAAAAGAAGATAATGAATTTAACAATTATTTAAACAGCATCAAAAATGTTCAGCTAAAGTTTGTAGACATTTTATAAAAGTATTTTCTTCTCCGATTCTTGGCTTCATTTTCTTTTCCTATGGGTTTCAGCAAAACTAAGCAATTAAAACAGCTTTCTTGCAATGAAGTACTTCAACAAAATGCTTTAAGGGGCGTGAACACTTCCTGTTGTGTCCGGCATGTCTCAGCGCTAACAACCTTGGGATAAAAAATATATTAAATTAATAGTACAACTTTTTTCAACGACTAAAAATATAGAGCTTAATTATATTCAAAAAGCCGATTAGACAGATCCAGGGCACAGTTGTATTGGCAGTTGATCCGCGTGTCCGTTTTGTGGGTTGATTGAATGGCCAATCAGACTGACAGCATATACTGATTAAGTTTCATTATACACTTGAAACAGTTGGACTGTTTTTCTAAATATTCTTCATGAAGATTAGTTGGAACCAATTTTCAAGGCCAGTTTCCCACGTCGAATAATGTACTAGCTTTAAAACATTTTTAACTCAGCAATCGCTTCCTCACACCTTGGAATACGTTAACCACTGAATTTAGTTTTAATTTCTAAGAACAATAATAAGTCTTCACCGCCTAGTCAGGGTTGGAGCTTCGAGTTGTTGTATGATGTGAGGTTAATGCCTTGGTTAGAGCTAGGGTTGTGTATCAGTTACAAATCTCTTTATTATTATCATTTAGCTTAGTCGTTGAAAGTAGGTAATCAATTTGTTTAGAAACCCTGAGGCCTATCTGTGGACTTAATTGTTTAGTTTGGCCCTTACACCTTTTCGTGATGTCAAACCGTGGCTAATTATACTTTCATCATAGCAATATTGAGTTTCAATTACAACCAAGACCAATTTACAAAATCAAGAAAAGGTTTTCAAACGGGAAGATGAAATTAAGGCATATTTACTTTGGTTGTAAAAGTGTTCTTTTGGTAAACTATTTTTTGAGTAGTTTTATCCTGAGGAACTACGCGGTCTAGAAAAACCTTGAGTTCCCTAATCGTACTATCTGGCATATAGAAAAACCCAGAAACTTTGTAGTTTTTTCTATTCCAATAATTTTTCAGAAAGGAAATAATTTAAATTGCAATCGAATAAGTATGGCAGTCAATAAAGCCGACTGTCTCAATAGAATCAGAGGCTAGAAACCTTTAAATTGATTCGTTCCGTAAAGAAAGAAATATGACTGGAAAATTCTTAAAACTGAAAACCAAGGATGATTTTTGTGTTTAAACCTTTAAATATTCACGCTCACTGAAATCATTCAAATCTGGAATATATGTATGTACTTATATTTGTTACACCAATCCGTTCTAACCGTTCACCTTAGAGTGGAAAAAAGTATAAAAATGCACTTGCAATCATCTGACTGCTTGTAAATATGATCTCTTGCTCGAAGTTAGTGACAGTTGAATGCATTTCGGGGACCAGGCGTCGGTCTGTGTGTCCAGCAGCCGTGTCCGCTTCCGCACCCGTCCTTGGCCCTCAAACGAGTTGAACTCAATTTACAAAATGCTTTAACACCTCGTTGAGCTTATAATAGATTATTATTTTGTCAGAGTAAATTGGCAAATCCTTCGGCGATGCCGGGCAGCAGCACCTACTCGTACTTATCAAAAAAATAAAAAATACCCGAGAAGTTGAAAATCGATATATACGCAGAAGGTTAAAAATAGAGTGAAGCGACAGCAGCAAAAAGGCAACTGCCTGCCAACACCTTCAAAGACAAGAGGTATTGAATGTAATTAAAAGGAGTTGGATTACATGTACGTATACTCTCGTATGTAAGGCAGAAGGAGAGTGTTTTTTTTTTATTTTTTTTTTTATGAGAAAGGAGCTGCCAAGTATAGGCAGTAACAACAAATACATGCAACGACTAGAGCATAAAAGCAAGAACAGCACCGAGGACTAAGTTCTTCTTTTCACTTAAAAAGCACACAAGTGAAGTGAAGCAGCCGGAGCCGGAGCGTGTGCTGCTCCTTGGCCAAAGCGCTGCCTCGCAATCGTCCTTCCAAATGCACTTTAAATGGCAGTTTCCGGTCACAAACACACACATACACATACATATGTACATTGGAACACAAACAGGCATGAGCATAATAATAATACAATGCAAAATGTTAAGTAAAAGCCAGGAGTCGGGCCGTGCCAGGAGCAGCAATGCACCGCTTGGTACATACTGTACTCACACACACAGACACATTTACATTCACATACATTGCGCTGCTGTCATGTCCGCCATCAACGGTCGCACTCGTCCTCCTCGTCGCTCACGACAACTTGCGGCACGTCCTCGACGCTTCCTTTGCCTTGCTGCACCATCTACGCAGGCCTACCCCTGTCTTCTTTCCCTGTGTGTGTGTGTGTGTGTGTGTGTGTGTGTGTTTGTGCATCGCACGTGTGCGTTGCAGCAAGTCTTTTAAAATTCAAATTTGATTTCTTAACGGCAGCTTCGCATGCCGCTGCCTGACAATGTCGTTTAAATTAATTACCTCATAAATTAATGGCAATTATACTATAAATGCTGTGCAGCATGAAAGCTAATTTTTATACTCTAAAGTAACAATATTAATGTGTGCAGGTGCTCTTCTAAGTATATAATATTCCCAACAAGCGATCAATATGAACTGCACAAATCACCTTGAATTTTCTTGTTGATCTTTGAAAATGTTTTAAAAATGTATTTAAAAATTATTTTAAACAATAATGATGCAGAGGAAATACATAAATGTTTTCAAATGGGTCATTGAAAGGTTTTTTCACCTCAACATTTCTTCAAAGCAACAGAGAGCAAAATTAAAAACGTATTCTTTCTTCCAAGTCATATCCTTTGTCATTTCTTGACTCTTAAATGCATATTTTTGATAACTTGCCCACAAACCCACTGAAGATATATTAATTTACTTTCCAGTACTTAAATGCGTAGGAATAATGAAAACTTGTTCCTTAGAGATTTTGATTTCGTCCACCAACTTATATATTTGTACAGCTTATGCACTCCAATGACTACAGGAAACTTGTTTGGCAACTTAAATCGCATTCTATGCCGTTTCAATACATATGTATATTCTATTGCAATAAAGGGTATCTAAGTGGAGCTGCTCCAGTCGACTTTTAAAACAAAAAGACAAAGTTTAAATTAAATGTTCTATTGAATCTAGAAAGAGTAAGATATTCACAACACAAATTCAGCTTATTGTTCGAAGTATTTTGTGGACATACAACTACTATGTACATCCTATAAATGGTAACACCAACTTTTACCCATTTGAGGGTTGAATTTTCACCATCGAAGGCCAGCCCTCTATCTTCATTCGTTGAATTATACGTCTTATAAATAAGTAATAATTAAAGAATTAGTTTGAAATCGAAGGGTTAAACATTTCCAAAAATCTTTGATGAACATTGTTAGAAGAACTAAGGCTGTTTTTAAGAGTAGTATTTTAAAAATAACATCTGAAATGAAAAGCTTCCTTCTTTTCCGTATTTCTATTCCACATTTGTTTCCTGGCTTATGTTAAGCTTTTCTAAAGTTAAAACATACTTCAACTTCCTTGCTTGCTATAGAGTAAATCAATAAAAACATTGTCTGATAATATCATCCGATAATATCACGTTCATTTAACTAGGTGAAAACACAGTTTTAGCGTATAGTTCCGATTTAAAGAAGACTTAAAGCATTTATATCCTATCTCTCTTACATTTCAGTTGCACACAACATTGCTCGTGAATCCTATCGGGGATACAACTCGGAGATTTATACAACTATTTCCAACTCAATGGGACAGCACGGCGGTGAGTGTGTTTTCAATTAACTTATTTGAGATGCTACACCAAACGTTTGGCCTAAATTGGGTGGCCAGAGCCATAGGTTCCTTCCTTCCGTTCCTCCATCCACTTCCGGTACTGAGGTTGCTGTTGCCGCTGCAGTTTTAACAATTTTCACAGCTCCCATGCACAAACCGCATACTCGTACAATGGAAGCACTTAAAACGATCCAACACTGCTGCGACCTAAAAACTTCACAAAGTCGCTGCAGCGACCGAGCTAACAAAAATAAATCCAAATTAGTTGTCGCAGTGGGACACGGAACTGTTTTTTTCTGCTTTTTCCCATTGCTATTTCGGCTGAAAGCTGGCTTCTAAGATTGCTGGGCGCATGAGTTGACAAGATACTGTGGCTATTGGGCATTAGAGATGAGCGCGTCCCCGCCTATTGTGAGGTAGGCACAAGAATCTCTAGCATTCTTTTTAGTTAGTAGAAAAGTTTATGAAAACTGATTTCACATCCGAACGACCATTTGTGAAATCTAGAATGTACACTCATGTCGATTGTAGAAAGACGAGCGATTTCCATTGAAATCTTATGCGTGGACTGATAATATTTGTACTGCTAAAACCCAGATCTAAAAAATATTAAGCTTGTTTAAAATATTTCCAATAACTTTACTATTTAATTCAGATATAGAAATAAATAGGTATTAAGTCAAAATCTAGCGAACATACGTGTATGGATCCATGCGAGTTGTCGGGTACAACTGATTCTTTTACAGCTCATAGCTGAATAAATTCACAGAAAATTATCCATTATCCAAAATGTATCATGCAGCAATAACAGACAAAATTGTCTGTAATATTTAATTGCCAGATTGTTGATTTCGAGTGAACATTAAAGGCTACATATACACATACTCTGACGAGTCGAGTCCGTGTGTCTGTCTGTATGAACGCAAGTATCTCGGAAACCATAAAAGCAAGGCCCAACAAACTTGGCATGCACACTCTAAGAACAAATAGTAAATATTTGTTAAATATTTGAATCAAAACAGATTTGAAAGGATTTAAAAAGTTTCAGTTTTATTCAAAACGGCACTTGCAAATTTGTAATTGTAGCTAAAAGAATAGCTCGATAAAGTTAGCGCTGCTCCAAAAATTTAGCCCTAAACGTCCGACTAGCCAAGAGTAGTAGCTTATGACCGCAAAGCTCGCACAATCCCGTCTCCCGCCTGCTGCATGGCTGAAGCGCCACATCACCACTATTGTGGTGGGTGCTGGGTGTTGTTGCAGCAGCCGCACTTCAAGGACTTTTGTTGCCTTTGGGGCGCGTCTAGTGCGCCAGGTTGGGCTTAGTAGCTTAGTAGTGTTAAAGCGGCCTGTTCTGTCCGTCTTCGTTTCGCATTACACGCAGACTCTGGCAGCTAAAACGCTTGATGAAGTGCCAGCGTCTTGCTTTAGGTAGCTGCAGATGTTGGAGCCGTCTCTGTTGCTGCTGCCACATCTTCTTTTTTTTGCAACCTGGCCAAGTGTTGGCTTCTACATGTCAGTTGCACTCGTCACCGTCGTCTACTTGAATTACACAAGCGTCTACGGTTACATAAAGCAACTGGCAGTTGTGCTGCTGCTGCTGCTGCTACTACTGCAACTGTTGTTGTTGTTGTTCGTGTTGCTGTTCTTCTGATGTTGCTACTGCTGGCTCTTTCTCTTCATTGACTGCGTCACAAGTTCTTTGCACTCCCTTCAATGCTGCTCGTTTACTGCTGCCATATTGCGGCGGCCTCTTGTGTTGGTGTAGGTCCGGGTCTAGTCGTTTATGTAAACCACATGCCCACTTATATGCTGCAACTGCGTTTACATAATGCATATACATAACACTTTAGCATGCTCTTCGCGCGTTTCCACATACATTCGTCTCCCCTACCGCCCCGCCCGCTCGCCTCTCACCATTCGCTTCCTTGTCCCTGGCCCTGTGCCCGCATTCTCCGTCTATCCCGGTCCTGCCCAGCCGGTCGCTGCTTCGTGTCAGCACCTTGCCTGCCTCTTCATTTTTTTTTTTTTTTTTTGACTGCCACTGCAAAATTAATGGGTTAACTAAATGTGTATGTAATACATATGTATATGAATCGATGGCGATGTCGACGGCGGCGGTTGTGGTGGCAGTGATGGTGTGGACTAAAGGTCCCCTCTATTTGCCGCTTCAATGGCAACGCTTGGCTGGCGTTTCCACTCTTCCTCGATATTCTCGTTAGTGTCCGGCTTTGCACGGCTTATGTGCCATAAGGTAGGTAATGGCTCAGGTTTATGGACTCTATCAATGCAGAGCTGTCTAGATTAGAGCGGCACATGATAGCATTTAAAAGTGAAGAGCTTTGTTACATCAAGCTAGCTCTTTTGAGTGTCATGTCGTGCTGCTAAGAACTCTGAAACACTCTCTTGTAAAATCCTAATACTTATGGGATTCATAAATATCAAATTCTTAGCAAATATACTGACTTACTAAACATTATGTCTTAAATACTATTGTATCCCTATGAGAGGTGCTACATCTGCTTAATCTGACAGTTCCGAATTTTAAAATGTATTTCTCTTTTCATCTTTGTGTTCGTAGTAACTTAAAATTAAAATTTGTACTTATTTGAAACAAGAATTGCGTCTAATATATATTTTATTCTTAACTTTCGTTTAACTCACCAAATAAGATTTTACCTAGCAAAATGTGATGTTCGAAAAATGCAATGTCGAATTTAGGCGAAGCTGGCATTTCTATTGTTCGGTTGTTTTGGACGCTGTGTTTGAATACTAATGTTTTAACTAGAGACATAGTATTTGCTAATTTAATAATATACACATTCGAAATGCAAAATTTTTTTGATGCAGATAGTTGGGAAAATCTATAAAGTTTATATTCCAATGATTGTTATTTTGCAGAAAAATATTTTTGTTAGTATTTTTAATCAAATCGCTAGAAAAAACCGGAGTGACTTGAAATCTACTGAAAGAGATTTCTGTGACACCCCCGAATATGACAGTTGCACTTTTCTCTCCTACCCATCATTGCAATTAGGAAGTAGAATACATACTTCATATCCGATGGTTAATAACCAATCGATGGGGTTGCACATAGTTATGATCTTTGAAAAGAACATATCCAAAAAAAAAAATTTGTTTCTTATCTTCCATTGTCCATTTGTCTTTCGATAAATATCTGATGATCAGAAGATAAGCACCAACAACCTTAATAAAGACCATCATTAGAATTACAAAATGATTTTACACTCTCTCGGTGCCAGAGGCACTTTCATAAAATTTTAGAAGTGAACAGTATTTGACGAAAACTCTTAAAGTCATCCTGTCACCTGTTAAGTACACGAAGTCTCGAGTACCAGAAAACGCTGCACTCACCCGAGTAGAGCTCGGTTTTCGCTTGATTTCGTCCGGTATTGTTTACTTATTGGCAACTAACATCACGACCCGTAACCTACTTACATACACATACATATATAGGTGGTATGCCATCCAATCATCCAAGAAACGCATCGATGCAACGCCGTGCATGTGTGTAGGTACAGTTGCGCTCTGCTTTGTGAGCCGCCATTTTGTGCATCCGCGAATGTAGGTGAAACGTTGGTTTCTTTTTCAAGTGCGTCTTAGTGTGTGTTGGGTGTGTATGCGATGGTATAGTTTCAGACTAAAATGCACGGAGCACTTTAGGCTGCTGAAAAAAAAATGTAATGCCCAAACAAAATCGCGCCCCCATGTGCACAGATTTCAATGCGCACATCGCGTTGCCATGTCGAATGTGCCCCTGCCCCCCGCCGTTGCAATGTTCGCTTGCCGGCCGGCCGGTCTGTAAGCTGCTGCCACAGCAGTAAACTACTGCTGTTCTTCTGTTGGTGCTGGTGCTGTGAGGTAGACTGTGGGAAATTTCACACTTGAACCCAATAAAATATTAAATTTTCCCGAATCATAAAAAGGCAAATCGATATAGACATGTCCGTCTGTATGAACATCGAACACTTTCGAACCATAATAGCTAGGGACATCAAATTTTGTATAAAGACTCCTCATGCTCATATGCGGAGCATGTTTATAGCCTCGGTCGACAAACCACTTTTAATGGGATAACATTTTTCACTTTTCTTTTTTGAAGACGTCTCAAGCAAATTTGGAATTTATAATTTCATCGTGTCACTATCTGAATTATCATAGCTGACATACAGAATTTATTGGTGCAATAAAGTTTGTTTTAATTGAAGGGGCAGTAGCAGTAGCAAAAGGGGGGCTACTGGGTATTCAACAGTCGAATTTAACTTTAACGTTATATTTAGCTATTTATAATGATATCTAAGCGATATTGAGAATTTTTAAAGTTTTATTCAATACGATTTACAGCCATAGGGATGATTGGTACAATGAAAATTCTTCTAATATCAATTATCAGACGTGTAATGATTTCATTTGTTTGCATTTCAGCTCACAAAAGGATTTGTTCCACTGTGAATTCTATAGCATGGTTTTGGCGATTCGCTTTTGTTTTTAGCGACAGCAACAACAATAATAATAATAACAACAGCCACTCGCCACATGCTCTGCGCTGATCGTCTCGCTGAAAAAGTAGGCCAAGTTAAAATTGATTTAATGCGTTGATTGCATTGCGGCTGCCGCTATAGCCGCTGCATCGGCAATGGCAACGGCACCAACACCGGCATCTCGGCATTGGCATCACATGCTGTGGTCGTTTTGGCGTTTTTGGTTCTTATGCGACCGAGACTGAATGCAACAGCAACGACTGCAACTACTGTGGCAATGTTGCAGATTTATGCATTTGCTTGACGCAGCTGCTGCCTGTTTTACTTTCGATGATGATTTTAATCTTTGGGTACAACTACACATATACTCGCACAAGCATATGTACTATAAATATACTATAAATACGATGTTAGGTGCGTGTGACCCGCACAATGTCAAAAGTGTTGTTTCGGTGGCGTATACGTAATATTTTTGGTAGCTGCACCTTGC